GACTCCCAATTCCTTGGTCAAAACTTCCTCTGGGCTGTCCCTTCATGCCTCTGGTCTAGCTCACTGCCATAGGCCTTGATCTGTCCAGGAACCACACTGTTCCTCCTAGTGTCCTCCTACTGACAGTGGCTTCAGTTGCCTTCCCTCAACATTTGATCTTTTGCCCCACCAACAAGCTTGATGACTCTCAGTTTTTCTTTTCACAAGTTAAGATAAGCTTTGACAAACAGCATCAACAATCAATAAGCCTCTTCATTTACTACACGATTTTTCTGAGTTCCTCCTGGCTGTGTTCTTGTTTCTGTATTAAATTACCCTGAAAGGGCAGTAGGAACAAAAAAAACCCCAAAGAACAGTGTGGGTGATCGGCAGCAGCATCAATAACAAAGCCCAATGACATCAAAATAAGACCATACAGGCAATGATGTCATAACATAAATGCCACAGTTATGCTCTTGCATCTTGATATTTTATGAAGCACATAGTCACACACATTTTAGCATTTGCCTACCCTTGCGGATACTCATGGTGACAGAGAGACTTGCTGACACTATATATTTAAAATTGTGGAGAGGAAAAAAAATATTGCCTGCCATTATCTCATCTCTAAATTAACATAACGAAACTATCTTTTAAAAAAAAAGTTTTAGAAATTCTCCAACTTACCCAAACATGGGCACCTCTTTTCCTTTATTTTTGCAAAGTGAGAATATCAGGAAACTAGAACAGCAAATGTGGCCATTCTTAGTATTCCTCCTGCAGCTTGAGAACACAGTCCACAGACATAGTGGCCACCGAACAAATCTCCTTTAAAGGCAGGCAAGCTGTCTATTTTTAAAATTAATTTCCTGCATGGATTTCATCAGATGCAAGTGATTCTAAACTGCAATTGCATTCAAATGTGACTATACAGAGATCAAACTTATAGAGCTTCTTAGTACCTCTTGGGTAGTTAACACACAAAACTAGTGCTCCTTGAATCATCAGAATAGAACTATTGCAGCAGGAGGAAGAATAAATTAGCCTTCCTGAAACACAGATAACCACATAAATAAGATTTTCAAAAGTAAGTGGGACATTTTCCCTCTGCATTGACCCAGCGTCACAAGCCTATAGCAACAATTATTTTTGACTAAATATTACATCTCATAATGTAATAGTTACTGTTTTCACTGTATGTCAGGACGAAAGGTTAAATCTTCGGTCCCTAGCCATGAACCTTAGGGGGAAAAAATTATTTATACATAATATCAAAATGTAAGGCATCTTGAATTAGAAGCTCCACTTATATGCTCATTATTTCAAGCGGACATGATTCATTTTTGTTGAAACTTTGCTAAAGATGGAAAACTCCCCCTTCCAACAGGCCCAGTACTAATGCTAATCCACTTTTCTCCACCATTAATATGACATGTGATTATACCAAGGTTATATTTTTAAATCCACTTTTAATTTCCTACCCCAAACTACTCTTTTGCTCCGTAATTTCCTCATGGCATTTTTTACCTCTTCATTTCTCAAGGTGTAAATTAACGGATTGAGCATAGGAGTGATAATAGTATAGAAAACAGCCACACTTTTGTCCTCTGAGAACGTGGTTGAAGGCCTCATGTAAAGGAAAATGCAGGGGCCAAAAAACAGAATCACAACCGTGATGTGGGAAGCACAGGTTGAAAGAGCCTTGAGACGTCCTTCGGAAGAACGGGTCCTCAATGTGAATAGGATAACAATGTAAGAAATAGTCAGCACAAGAAAACAACTGAGGGAAATCATGCCACTGTTGGCAATGACAAGAAGTCCAATAATGTAGGTATCAGTGCAGGCTAATTTTAATAAAGGGTGAACATCACAAAAATAGTGATCAATTTCATTAGGACCACAGAAGGGTAGCTGTGTAGTGAGGAGTGTCTGTCCCATTGAATGTACAAACCCCCCCAGCCATGAAAGAATCACCATCCAACTGCAGACACTCTTGTTCATAATAACGGTATAATGGAGAGGCTTGGAGATCGCAATGTATCGGTCGTATGCCATCAGTGTGAGAAGAAAAATTTCAGTACAGCCGAAAAAGTGAACCCCAAAGAGCTGTGCTATGCAACCAACAAAAGAGATGGTTTTCTTTTTA